GGGGCAAAAATGAGGAGCTGATGCTGGGGGCTTAAGTGGAGAGCAAATGTTTTGAGAATGATGGTGGCAAGGAATGTACAAATGCGCTTTACACAATTGATGTATGTATGGATTGTGATAAGAGTTGTATGAGCCCCCAATAAAATGATTTTAAAAATTAAAAATAAATAAATTTACTTTTAAAAATTAGCTGTCTATAGGGACTTGGTTTATTCCTGGGTTTTCAGTTCTAACCCATTGGTCTTCCTATCTATCCGTGTACTGGTCCTGGGCTGCTGTAGTGCCATGGCTGTAGTGTAAGTTTTAAGAGCTGGGAGTGAAAGGGTTCCCTTTGGTTTTTTATTTTTTGAATAGTATCTTATTTATCCTAGGTTTCTTTCTTTTCCATATAGAGTTGGTAATTAGTTTTTCCATTTCTTTGAATAGTTATGGTGGGATTTGGATGGGAATTGCTTTAAAATTAAAAATAAATAAATTTATTTAAAAAAATTAGCTGTCTATAGGGACTTGGTTTATTCCTTGGTTTTCAGTTCTAACCCATCCGTCTTCCTATCTATCCGTGTACCGGTCCTGGGCTGCTGTAGTACCATGGCTGTAGTGTAAGTTTTAAGAGCTGGGAGTGAAAGGGTTCCCTTTGGTTTTTTATTTTTTGAATAGTGTCTTATTTATCCTAGGTTTCTTTCTTTTCCATATGAAGTTGGTAATGAGTTTTTCCATTTCTTTGAAAAATTATGGTGGGATTTGGATCAGGATTGCATTGAATTGTAAACTATGCTTGGTAATATTGACATTTCACGATTTTTAATTGTTCCATTTGTGTAAGTCCCTTTTGGCATCTGGAAGGGGCATTTTGTGGTTTTCTTTGTATAAAGCTTTTGTGTCTCTGGTAGGATTTATTTTGAAATATTTTATCTTTTGTGTAGTTATTGTAAATGCTATTTTTCTTTTATTATCCCTTTCAGTATCATCATCCTTAATATCTAGAAACCAACTGATTTCTGTATGTTGTCTTTTTTTTTTTTAAATCATTGTGTTGGGGGCTCATACATTCTTATCACAATCCAGACTTGTATGGGACATATGGGTTAATATCAGACTTACGGACTTGATCTGGACTGGGCTGGGATGTTTTCTTAATGTACAATTGCTCTTGATATAAAGCTCTCTCTTACACACACATGAGAATCTTCCTGGATTTGTTTCTTTAGTCAACTCCGATTAACACAATCTCTAAATTTTCCTCCAGTTGCTTACAGTAACTGGAGCCCCTGGCTGTGATCTCGTCTTGGGAGGATCGGTGGATCCTTCCTCCACCAGGAGGGAGCGTCTCCAGGCCCGCTGCGCATGATGCTTTCTCCTGTTTCCGCAAGTGTGTGCTCGCCTGCTGCTTCGGAGCCGGGACGTTCTTGGGAATTTGCTTCCATGTCTGACCTGAACACAGTTACCCCACACATCTGCTGCAACCCAGCAATTCCACACCAGCCAAGCCTCCACAGGGGCCAAAGGCAAGCAATTCAACATGAGCTCCATCAAAGTCTTGGTCTTGAGGTTGATTCCCAAGTGCCAGCGAGGGTTGATCAAACTAGCCTGCTGAGAGGAGAGACGTGACCAATGAGAGCATTCATCAAAGCCGTCTCTTGCTGCAGGGTCCAATGACCATGGCAGACAGGTGTTAGTGCTTTCAATCTTGCTTTCCTCACCACCAAGAAGCAGCATGGTACTTGGTGTGATGCCTTGGGTTTTAGAGCTCATGACACCAATCCATTCACTGGACGGCAGTGATGGCTGCTAGCCGTGAGCGGACCCCAGGAGGGCACTGCAGCCAGTCAGGCTCTGGTGCAAACAGCCCTTCCCCTGGGGCCACCCGGCCCTGCAGGCCCCATGAGACTAGAGGAGTGTGTGGCCAGGAGGTTAGGCTGCAGTGTGGTCCTCAAGAAGAGAACTACAGGGACATGCAGGCAGGTAGAGCTCGCTGGTGCCCAGGGGCCACAGGAGCGAGCACGGAGACTGGAGGGGCAGCGCTGGGTGGACATCTGGGAGCGGAGCTTGTATTCCTCATTGATGAACACCTGAGTGGCCCTGCTGGGAGGAACCTGGGCTGCAGAAGGCATAGCCAAGGAGCAGAGAGAGACCAGCATGGTCCACCACAGGCTGGCCCTCTCTCCAAGCTGACAAGCCCCCTCACTGCCCACCGCCCGCAGCCAGCAGTGGAGATCACCCCCACCACACACACCACCCACCGCAGGTAACCACCCTACACTGCTGCACACCACACACACACACACACACACACACCACTCCACACCACACACCGCACATAAACCACACACACCATAGACCACCACCCCCACTCCATCACACACACACCACCCTATACCACCCCACCCCACACACACCCCACCCCACCGGAAGCGGCGAGCCCGGCTCTGGAGAGACATTCTTGAAGGAAGAGCAGCCGAGGCAGCATGGTGAAGGTGAGACCCCCAGTCCTGGGCCCCCTCCTCCAGGTGCTTGTCTTGTCTACCTTCAGCGCATGGCTGTTGTGTGGTGCTGTGTCCACACTAAGGGTGTCATGTGGGTGCCCCCCCCCCCCCCCCGAGCAGGGAGCAGCAGGGAACCTACTGGAGGGATGGGCACCTCCTGCAGGTCTCCTGTGCCCAGGGCCTTGCCAGGGCTGAGTTCTAATGGGCTCTCTTTACCACGGGGCTGTGAGCGTTGGGGGCGATCCCCAGAGAGAAAGCAAGAGCACATGGGGACCCTGGGCCATCCCTTACCCCTGTGGTTGTCGTCCACACACCAGGCTCCTCCTCCTAGCAGATACAGGAGGGGGAGGTGCTGCTCCCGCAGGGTGGGAAGGGGAGCCGGAGCCAGATGTCCCAGGGCACCGTTCAATATTCCTGTGCCACAGAGCCCGGCCAGGGCACGGGACACTCCTGCCCCCGAGGGCACTGTCCAGTGTGCCAGAGCCCGACTAAGGCCCGGGGATAGACTTCTCCCTGAGGGACGGAGTCTGACCATCTCCCCAGATGGAGAAGGGAGGTCGCAGGCCCAGCAGCAACAGTGGGGGCCATGGGTCATCCCACCCACCTCCTCTTAGCAGCTTTTGAGGAAACTGCAGCCCGTCCCAGAGCGGAGAGCCCGCGTCGAGGGAAGGAATGGTATGTGAAAAGCGAGCAGGCCATGGGCAGGCTGTGGTAGGTGCTGGCCTCACCGTGTCCAGCTGCCCGCAGCTGCTACAGCTCAGAACCGTGTCCTTCATGAGATGGTGCCCTTGGCTGCCTGAGGGATGCACTGAGCCAGGGAGTGACCCACCCTCCTCACGGTGGTTACATCACCTGGTGTCAACCTGAGACTCTTAAGAGTGAAGGGGTGGTTTAGCCTGTCAATCAAGTTGCAGCTTGACAAGCTCATTTGGCGGTGCTATGGAGGTAAATAGCTCACTGGAGGCCAGACCCAGGCTCTGCTTCGTCTTACTGCCGACAAGACAGATGGAGCTACACTGATGGAGCCAGAGCCCTGGAGCTGGAGGAGCCATGTGGAGACCCACGCCAGCAGAGATGCTTCCACCACCACTGGATCCATGACTTTCCACTGGCCTGTGATCTTCCTGCACTCAGTCACTGCACGTGTTGCGTGAGTCTGAAGAGGAATATACTGACTGGTATCGGACATAGGGGCTAATATCAGACTTACGGACTTGATCTGGACTGGGCTGTTCATATACAATTATTCTTTTATGTAAAGCTCGTTCTTATACACATGGGTCTCCCTGGATTTGCCTCTCTGGTCTACCCTGGACTAGCAGGACTCACACACACCTGCTGGGTCAGGGGCACAGCCCATGACCAGCTGACACTGGGGTAAAGCTCCCCTCACAGGAAGCACACCAACATCTAAGTGCAGAACATGTGTCCAGCTCGGGCGACAACCTGCGCCAGGGAGGACCTATGTGCAGGAATCCTGGTCCAGCTTCTGCCCTGGCTGGCACCGCAGGCCCTGCCCCAGGCTGCTGCCCACAGCCTCACTCCTCATTTTCTCATGCCTGCTGAAACCCCGTCTCTGGGCAGAACCTCCCCCAAACCCCTTGTCTGTCCCTGGCCAGTACACAGTGACCAAGCTCAGCTTGCTGAGTCTGAGGCCGCCCCCACCCCATCTCACTCCTCCAACACACACACACACACACACACACACACACACACACACACACACACACACACACACACACACCGCACACACCAGGAAGAAGGAAAGCCTCTCAGAAAGGTTGGAATTGCTTTATTGGGGGGCAGGCACCACAAGGCCCCGCCCCTGGTCAGGTTAGTGTTCTGCCCTTAGGGAGGGGGCTGGAAGCCCAGTCCCTCCCCTGGCATTGCCCGGGTTAGTGGAACATGCAAAGCTCAGTCCAAGGGTGGAGGCAGGATGGGGACCACCAAGGCCAGGCCTGCATGGGACAGGGGGTGGGTGGCACCAGGCTGGGGGCCCAGGCCAGTGCAGTTGGCAGCCCTGGGCTGGGCAGAGGTGCTGCAGCTACACTAGGTTAGCGGTTCCCTGCTCAGGGTGGGCACCCAAGGCGGGGCTCCTTCAGGGGGTTGGGGACAGGACAGCCCTGCAGAGTCGTGAGCCGGGCCTGAGAGCCGGGATTCCCCCCCACTGGGGCCTGGGACTGAGGAGGACACAGAAGGCACTTTCAGGGGGGCTGAGGCCAAGGCCTGGGGTCCAGGGAGCAGGTAGGGAGGGGAGCCCTGACGGAGAGCCGAGGATGGGGCCCCCAGCCCAGACAGAACAGAAGCAGGCCATCTCCCCATGTGGGGCGGGGCTGCTCTGGGCAGGCTGGAAGACACTGCAGACTTGGGCCCCCTCGCTAGCAGGCAGCCGTCACTCTGAGAAGAAATGCAGGCCCTGATGTCAACACCCAGAGGATTGGGGGGCCCATTGGGGAGGTGGGCGAGGGACTGGGGGCTCAACTCTGGGCCCTCCAAGGCACCTGGCTGTGGTGAGTGGCGGGTAGGGGCAGGGGGGGACCCAGGGGGCGGTGGTCAGTGGGGCCAGCCGGCCCCGCCCCTGAGCCCAGGCCGTTGGCAGCAGGGACACATGGCTGTGTTAGTCTGGTCTTTTTGGTTAGACGTTAGGCACCGCATTGGAGGAAGGCTCCTTCAGGTGGGAGGAAGGCCAGGCGCCTCGGGAGGAGGGCGGGGCCTGGCCACATGCAGAGCTGGGGGGGAGTGGGCAGGGGGTCAGGCCACAGCTGACTCCGGGCCACCCAATGAAGTCGAGGACCCCGGGGCGGCAGCGGGGGCGGCCGCGTAGCGGCGGCCGTAGCCCGAGGAGGAGTAGGAGGAGGAGGAGAAGCTCATGGAGAAGCCTGAGCCTGTGGCGTCAAAGCTGCCCCGCCGCGAGCCAGCCCGAGAGCCGGTGCGCGAGCCGGTGCGCGAGCCAGCAGTGGAGCCCGAGCCGCTGACGCTATAGGGGCTGTAGTAGCCCTTGCTGGACTGGGCGGCAGCCTCCAGCAGCCGCAGCCCCGTGCCCTCCTCCACCATGCTGCGGTCCAGCGCGTCCTTGTAGGAGATCTTGAGCTTGGTCTTGGGGCAGGTGAGGTACTTGGAGTAGGCGCTGACATCTCGCAGCTTCTGCGCGGTGCGGGCATCCACGGTGCCCTTCTGCAGGGCGTCGTCCAGGGGCACACGGCCCGGCACGCCCGGCTCGATGAGCCCGCCCGTCAGGTACTGCACCTCCAGGAAGCGCTGGCCGGCCTCGTAGTACAGCCAGCCCTTCTTAAGCGCCTGCGCAGCCGACATCTTGGTCTTGGTGCGCGGGTCCTCGAAGCCGCAGAAGGCCTTCTGGGCCAGGCTGATGCGGTCCACCATGATCTTGTCCACCAGGCCCTTGTTGACGGCCTCGGTGACGGGCAGGCGCTCACCGGTGCTGGGGTCGGTGATGCCGCCGGTGCAGGCCTGCGCCTCCAGCAGCCGCTGGCCCGTGATGTTGTCCACCAGGTTGCGGTGCATGGCCTCGGTGATGGACACCTTCTCGAGCGTCTCTGTGTCCAGGATGCCAGCCACCGGGCCCGTCTCCTCCGTGGGGTCGGACCAGGAGGCCAGCTGGGTGCGGGAGATGGCGGGGCTGAGCGGGTAGGATGAAGAGGAGCCCACCGAGGAGGAGCGGGAGCGGAAGCCGCTGGCATTACCCGAGAGCATGTCGGCGAACTCGGTGATGGAGAGTGTGCCGGCGCGGTACTGGTCCAGCGCCGAGCGGTCGATGAGGCTCTTGGAGATGGCCTCGTCGATGTCGTACTGGCGGCCGGAGCGCCGGTCGATGATCATGGACTTGACCACGCCGTCCGAGGAGGAGATGGTGATCTCCTCCCACTCGCACTCCTGCTCCGACAGCTCCAGGTAGGTCTGGTGGTCGATGAGCCCCTTGCGGTAGGCCTCGTACACCGACATCTCCTTGCCCGTCTCGGGGTCCACGATCACCACGCGCCGCTTGCGCACCGAGGACTTGGAAGACGTCTTGCGCTCTCGCTTCTTCTCCTTGAGCGGCAGCAGGCACAGCCCGGTCTGCGGGTCCGAGACGCAGCGCTCCATCAGCTGCAGGTAGGTCAGGTTCTCCTCGGTGTTCGGGTCGAAGAAGCCCTTGGTGTCGTCTGACGGGTCGGTCAGGATCTCGTTCATCTCCTCATCAAAGAGGCCGCGCTGGTAGGCCATCTCGACAGGCAGCCGGTGGCTCTCCTCGGGGTCGATGATGCCGCCCGTGGCGATCTGGGCCTCCAGCAGGCGGACGCCGTGGTCCTTGAGGATCAGCCCCTTCTTCATGGCCTGGAAGAGGGAGATGAGCTTCCCGGAGTAGGGGTCGCGGTAGCCGGTGACGGCGCGCTCGGCCGACAGCAGCTTGTCCTTGAACTCGGGGCCCACGATGCCCATGCGCACAGCCTCCTCCACAGTCAGCTTGAGGCCCTTGATGGGGTCAATGACGTAGCCAGTGGCCGCCTGGGCCTCCAGCAGCTCGAAGGCCGTGCCGGGCCGGATGATGCCCTTCTTCATGGCCTGGTAGACGGACAGCCGCTCCTTGGTGGCATCGACGAAGACGCCAGCGATGCAGCTGGTGCCCTCAAGGAACTTCTGCAGGTGCTTGCTCACCTCCTCGACAGAGGTCAGGCCCTCCTGCAGCTGCAGCGCCATGGCCGCGTCCAGCACCTGGGAGCGCACCAGCTCCTCCACCGTGATCTGCTTGCGCAGCCCACGGAAGGTCAGCTTGCGGGCGTCAGAGAGCGGCAGCAGCAGCTGCCCGCTCTCGTCGTCACGGCGGCACCGCTTGAGCAGCTGCGTGTAGCTGAGCCGCTCGTCCGTGGAGGGGTCCACGTAGCTGCGGACCTCGCTGGGCTCCGAGAGCTGGTCGTACGTGTCCTTGTTCAGGTAGCCGCGCTGGAGGGCCACTTCCAGCGGCAGGTGGAAACCCAGCCGAGGGTCCACGATGCCACCCGTGGCCAGCTGGGCGTCCAGCAGGCGCAGTGCCTCCTCGGCTGGGATCAGCTCCTTCTTCATGGCCTGGAACAGCGAGGTGGTCTGCTCTGTGTAGGGGTCGCGGTAGCCGGTCACAGCACGCTCAGCTGACAGCAGTCGGTCATGCAGCTCAGGCCCCACCAGGCCCTTGCGCACGGCCTCATCCACTGTCAGCCGCTCGCCCTTCAGTGGGTCCAGCATGAAGCCCGTGGCCGCCTGGGCCTCCAGCAGCAGGCGGGCCACCTCGGCCGGCACCAGCCCCTTTTTGAGGGCCTGGTACACGGTCAGCGTCTGCCGGGAGCCAGGCAGGTAGACGCCTGCCACACAGCCCGTGCCATAGAGGTAGCGCCGGGCGTCCTCGGCCTCCAGCACCTCTCGCAGGGTCCTGGTGCCCTCCCGGAGCAGGTTGTACGTCTCCAGCGTGATGATGTGGGCCTCGTAGAGGTCCTCGGCCGTCAGGTGGCGCCGCACGTAGTCGTAGGAGGCCCGGCTCTGCTGGCGCACGATCTCCGTCTTCTCGATAATCTCGATGATGATGATGATCATCCGCTCCTTGGTCACGCGCCCGGCCCGGAAGTCCTCCATCAGGCGGTCCCGCTGCTCCGCAGGGATCAGGTCCGACTGCATCACCTCCCAGAGCGACATAGAGGCCGCGCCAGGGCTGCCCCCTGGAATCTCGATCTGGGTCTCCTCAAAGGCCCGCCGCGTCTCCTCCTCCGTGTACACTACCTGTGTGCTCTCCACGGCCTGCGGGGGCTCTTCTGCGGCTTTCAAGGGCAGCAGGAAGAGGCCGGACTCCGGGTCCTCCACGCAGCGGCCCAGCAGCTCCCGGTAGGTCAGGTTCTCTCGCGTGTTGGGGTCAAAGAAACCCTTGGTGTCCCGCAGCGCATGGTGCATGGCCTTGTCTAAGTAGCCGCGCCGGTAGGCCACCTCCACGGGCACGCGGTGGCTGTGCACGGGGTCGATGATGCCGCCCGTGGCGACCTGGGCCTCCAGCAGGCGCACTGCACGCTCACGCACAACCAGGCCCTTCTGCATGGCCTGGAAGAGGGAGATGGTGGAGCCGGAATAGGGGTCTTTGTAGCCGGTCACGGCCTTCTCGGCCGACAGCAGCTTCTCGTGCAGCTCGGGGCCCACCACGCCCGCCTTGACCGCTTCGTGGACATACAGCCGCTGGTTGCGCACAGGGTCCAGCAGGAAGCCAGTGGCCGCCTGGGCCTCGAGCAGCAGCGTGGCCGTGCTAGGCTGGAGCAGGCCGCGCCGCATGGCCTCATAGATGGCCACCTTCTCCTTAGACTCCTCCAGGTAGATGCCGGCTACGCAGCCACTGCCCTGCAGCAGCGTCCGCACACTGTCCACCTCAGAGAGGTCCTTAACCGACGCCTGGCCATCCCGCAGCTGCTCGAACTGGGTCTTGCTGAGGATGCCGGCATCCAGAAGCTGGCTGGCTGGGACCGGGGCCCGCAGGCCACTGAAGGACAGCCTCTCCTGGCGCTGGGTCTCGGTCTCCTCAATGATGGTGATGAGGATCTTGATGACCTTCTCCACGGTCACCTTGCCCGTACGGTATTGCCGCAGCAGCTCCTGGCGCTGCTCCTCCGAGAAGTACTCAGAGCTGATGAGTTCCCAGACGCTGACCGTCCGGCCCTTGAAGCCACCCACGGGGACCTCGACGCTGGCCTTCTCAAAGGCCTCGCGGGCCTGCACGTTGGTGTAGAGCTGCTCCTGGCGGGCGCGGGCGGCCTTCTCGGACAGCGGCAGCAAGCTGAGTCCCGTGAGCTGGTCTGGCCGGCACCGGCTCTGCAGCTGGCTGTAGGTGACCCGCTCCTGGGCACCAGGGTCAAAGAAGGTCTTGGCGTCATCCTGGGGCAGCGACAGGGCCTTGTGTGTCTCCTTGTCCAGGTGGCCCCGCGCGAAGGCCACATCCAGGGGCACGCGGTGGCTCTTGCTGGGGTCCACGATGCCACCGGTGGATAGCTGGGCGTCCAACAGACGCAGGCCCTGCTCCTTGGGGAGGAGGCCTTTCTTCAGGGCCTGGAACAGGGACACGCTCTGGCCGGAGTAGGGATCCCGGTAGCCGGTCACGGCCTTCTCGGCTGAGAGCAGCTTCTCATGCAGCTCGGGTCCCACAAGGCCGGCCCGCACTGCCTCGTCCACGGTCAGCCGGGCGCTGGTGGCAGGGTCAAGGATGTGCCCGGTGCCCGCCTGGGCCTCCAGCAGGGCCACGGCCACCTCGGGCTGTAGCAGCTCCTTCCGCAGGGCTTCGTGAATGCTCAGCCGCTGCCCCGCCTCCTCCAGCCACACGCCCGCGATGACGCCGGTGCCCCGCAGGGCCCGCCGCACGGCCTCCACCTCGGCCACCTCCTGCACTGAGCGCTCGCCCTGCTGGAGCTGGCTGAACACGTCTTGGCCGATGACCCTGCTCTGCAGCAGCTCGGCGGCGGGCACCAGGGCGCGCAGGCCCTGGAAGCAGAGCTGGCCCCGCTGCTCGTGCTCCTCCACCACCGTGATGACGATCTTGATGATCTTCTCCACCGTGACACGGCCTGCCCGGAACTGGCGCAGCAGGTCACGCCGCTGCTCAGCGGTGAAGTATTCGGAGTTGATGATCTCCCAGATGCTCACCGTCCGGCCCTGGAAGCGACCAAAAGGGGCGGACACCGTGGCCTTCTCGAACACGTCACGCGCCTCTGAGTCCGAGTAGACCAGCTCGCCGCCCTTGGCAGCCTTGTCCGTGAGCGGCAGGAGGCGCAGCCCGGTGTCGGGGTCGCGCACGCAGCGCTCCAGCAGCTGCAGGTAGGTCAGGTTCTCGTGCGTGTTGGGGTCGAAGAAGCCCTTGGTGTCGTCCCCGGGGTCCTGCAGCACGCGGTGCATGGCCTCGTCAAAGTAGCCGCGCTGGTAGGCCACCTCCACGGGCACGCGGTGGCTGTGCACGGGGTCGATGACGCCGCCCGTGGCGATCTGGGCCTCCAGCAGGCGCACGCCGTGCTCGCGCACGATCAGGTCCTTCTGCATGGCCTGGAAGAGGGAGATCTGCTCGCCCGTGTAGGGGTCGGTGTAGCCGGTGACGGCGCGCTCGGCGGACAGCAGCTTGTGGTGCAGCTCGGGACCCACCACGCCCTCTTTCACGGCCTCGCTGACTGTCAGCCGCAGGTTGCGCACGGGGTCCAGCAGGAAGCCCGAGGCGGCCTGGGCCTCGAGCAGCACCAGCGCGGTGCCAGGGCTCAGCAGCTTCCTCTGCAGCGCGGCATAGATGCTCAGCTTCTCGTTTGACGGCTTCAGCAGCAGCCCAGCGATGCTCCCGGAACCCTGCAAGTAACGCTGCACGTCCTCACGTCGCGAGAGCTCGGCCACAGTGGTGCCACCCTGCGCCAGGCGCTGCAGCTCCTCTGTGCTCAGGATGCCCGCCTCCTGCAGCTGCTGTGCTGGCACCTTCCGGCGCAGCCCCTCAAAGGCATGCTGCAGCTCCTCGTCTGGGGCCAGGCCATCGGGTACGTCCCTGCCGTTGGGCAGTGCCTTGGCGCCGGTGGTCTGCGTAACAGTCACCACCTCGGTGCGGGCCGCACGCTGCTCCTCTTCCAGCCGCTGCAGCCGCTCCCGCAGCTTGCGGTTCTCCTCGGCCAGTAGCTGCTCCTGCTGCTGCCGCTGCTGCTCTAGGTGCTGCAGTTCCTCCTGCTTGTGCCGCACACCCTCCTCGGCCTCGCGCTGCCGCCGTCTCGCCTCCTCCATGCTGGCCACCAGCTGCTGCTTCTCCTGTTCCATCTGTTGCTGCTGCCGCTGCTGCTCCTCACGCAGCTGCTGCGCCTTCGCCACCTCGTCCTGGAAGAGCTGCTCCAGCTTGGCCTTCTCCTGCTCCACGAAGCGCTCACGCTGCAGCAGGCTGTCCCTCTCGGAGACAAAGCTCTGCTGCAGGGCCTGCGTCTCCTGCAGCCGCTGCTCCTGCTGCACCGTCTGCATCTGTGGAGGCAAAGGGCGCCATCAGGGCCCACAGGGCAGCATGCCGTCCCATCCTGCCTGCCCACAGGGCAGAGCAGCCCACCTGGCCCCGCCCAGCCGCCCGCAGCCACCGCGGTGCGCGGGGGCGGTACCTCCTGGGATTTGAGCTGCAGCAGCTTGGCCTCCTGCTTTAGGCGCTCCTTCTCCCGCTCCAGCTCGGCGATGGCCTCACGCAGGCGCCCCGCGTCCTGGTCACTCTGCTGCCGCTGGATCTCCAGCGTGTGCACCAGGGTCACCTTCTCCTGCGTGGCCAGCTCGGTGCGGTGCAGCTTCTCACCGATCTCCTCGGCCTGCTTGCGGAAGCGCTGGGCATCCTCCTCAGCTCGGGCCTGGGCCCGGCTCATCTCTGCCACCCGCAGCTTGAGCCGCTCCGCCTCCGAGCTCATCTCCAACTGCCGCTGCCGCTCCGCCTCCAGCGTCCGCTGGAAGCCCTGCGCCTCCTGCTCCAGCTGCTGCGCCATTTGCTCTTTGTCCTCCTGCAGCCGCCGTGCCTGCTCCTGCGCCAGCTCCTTCTGCTGCTGCAGCAGCTCGGCCTGGGCCTTGAGCCGAGTGGCCTCTTGCACTGCCTGCATCTTCTCCTTCAGCATCTTCTCGGCCAGGGCCCGCTGCTGCGCTAGGTCCTCCTCTGCAAGCTGCCGCAGCCGTGCTGCCTCCTGGGCCGCCACGCTGAGGCGCGCAGCCTCCTCGGCCACCTGCTTCATCTTTTCGGCCTCCTCCTCCAGGAAGCGCTGCGTGTTGTCCTTGTCGCGCAAGACGAGGGTGCGGTTCTCCGCCTCGATGCGTGCCTTGAGCTTGCTCAGCTCCTCCATCTGCACGCGCACAGAGAAGAGCTCCTCTTCCACCTGGCTGCGCTGGCGTGCCGCCTCCGTCACCTCGGCCTTCAGCCGCTGCAGCTCCTCGTCCAGGATGTCCTTCTGGTGGTCGGTCTCCTCCAGCTGCAGCCGCAGTGCCGTCAGCTCCTGCTCCACCTGGGCCTTCTGCCGCAGCGTCTGTTCTGCGAACTTCTTGTGCTTCTCCATCTCCGCGTCAGCGGCCTGCTTCTGTCGCAGGGCTGCCTGCTCAGCCTGCGCCCGGCGCGCCGCCTCCTGCTCCGCCTCCTTGCGCAGCTTCTCAGCAGCGGCCTGCGCCTGGGACCGGGTTTGCGCCTGCTCCTCGGCGGCCTGCTTCAGTCGCTCGGCCTCCTCCACCTGCCGCCGGGACTGCGTCACCTCACGCTCGGCACGCTCCCGCGCCTCCTCAGCCTCCTCGGCCGCGCGCCGCGCAGCATCTGCCTCACTGCGCAGGCGTTCCATTACACTCTGCTCCTGCTGCAGCGTCTGCTGCAGCTCCTGCTCCTTCTGCTTCACGGCAAAGGCATGCGCCTTCTCCTCGGCCTGCAGCCGCTTCTGCGCGGCCTCCTGCGCCAGCTGTAGCTGCCGCGCCGACTCCTGCTCAGCGCGCTCGCGCAGGCGCCGAGCCTCCTCCACCTTAGCCTTCAGCCGCTCCACCTCCTCGAGCGCAGTCTTGCGCTGGCGCGCAGCCTCCTCCTCCGCTGCCAGGCTCTTCTGCACCCGCTCTTCGGCCTCGCGACGCCGTTGCTCCTCCTCGGCTGCCAGTTGCCGCTGGCGCGCGGCCTCCTGCTCGACCTGCTCTTTGCCGCGCAACGTGTCCTCGGCGCTGGCGCGGATGCGGCCCAGCTCCAGCTCCAGCTCCGCCTTGCCGGCGGTGGCCTTCTCAAAGCTCACCTTCAGCGCCAGGATCTCCTGCTCCACCTGTCGCCGCTGCCGCAGTGTGTCCTCCACCAGCCCCTTCTGCCGCTCCAGTTCGCTCTCCGAGGCCTTGCGCAACTGCGCCAGGCGCTCCTCGATGTCAGCCTTGTGCTGCGCCGCCTGCTCCTCTAGCTGCCGCCGCTGAAAGGCCTCGTCCTCAGCCAGGCGCCGCAGCCGCTCGTTCTCCGCCTCCTTTTCCTTGAGAGCGATCTCCGCCTCCGTCTTCAGCCGCGTGGCCTCGCTGATGGCGGCCAGCTTCTCGGCCAGCACACGCTCGGCCTCCGCCCGCTGCCGGGCCGCATCCTCCTCGGCCAGCTGCCGCTGCCGCTTGGCCTCTTCAGCCAGGGCCCGCAGGCGGGCGGCCTCCTCGGCCAGCTCCCGGAAGCGGCCAGCCTCGGCCTCCAGCCTCTGCTTGGACTTCTCGCTGGTGGAGCGCGACTCCTCCTCGGCGCGCGCCTTGCTGGACAGCAGCACGTCCATCTCCGCACGCACTTTGGCCAGTTCCGCCTCCAGCTCCTGGCGCTTCTGCGCAGCGGCGGCCGCCTCCCGCTGCAGCCGGGCCAGCTCCTCCTCCAGCACCAGCCGCTGCTGCTCGCCCTGCTCGGTCTCGGCCCGCAGGCGGATCAGCTCCTGCTCGGCCACCAGGCGCTGCTGCGCCGTGCCCTCGGCCAGCTGCCGCTGCCGCTCCAGCTCCTGCTCGGCCAGCTCCCGCTGCCGCACGGCCTGCTCCTCGGCCTTGCCGCGCCGCCGCGCCTCGCGCTCCGCCTCCTCCTTCTGCTTCTCGGCCTCGGCCTGCGCCAGGCTCTTCTGCTGCGCTACCTCCTCGGCCTGCAGCCGCAGCCGCAGCGCCTCGTTGGCTTTGAGCTGCCAGCGCTCCAGCTCGCGTTCGGCCTCCTCCCGGGCACGCTCCGCTTCCGCCTGCTGCTGCGCGTGCCGCTCTGCCTCTTCCCGCAGTTGCGCCACGGCCACGTGCTCCTCCTGCAGCGTGCGCTCCAGCCGGGCCGTCTTCTCAGCGAAGGAGGCCCGCTTGCTCTGCAGCTCCGCCTCTGCGCTGCGCTGCGCAGACTCCAGCGCCACCTGCACCTGGCGCGCGCGCTCCACCTCCGCCTGCCGCAGCCTCCGCTCCGCCTCCTCGGCCTGCAGCTGCAGCTCCTCCAGCGCCTTCAGAGCACGCTGCTTCTCCCGCGCAGCCTCCGCCTCGGCCTTCACACGCAGGGCCAGCTCTGCCTCGGCCTGCCGCTTGCGCTGGCTCTCGTCCTGCACCTGCCGCCGCAGCCGCTCGGCCTCCTCCTGTGCCTGCCGCTTCTGGGCCTCGGCCTCCTCAGCGCGTGCGCGCAGCGTCTGCAGCTCACCCTCCGCCCCTCCACGCTGGCGCTCGGTGCTCTCCAGCTGCAGGCGCACCACCCGGATCTCTTCCTCTATGCGCAGCCGGCTGCGCTCGGCTGCCTCCACCTGCTGTGCCTTGGCCTGGATCTCGGCCTCAGAGCTCTGCCGCACATGCTGCAGCTCCTCCTGGATGCTGCGCTTCTGCTGCTGCGCATCCACCGCCGCCTCCTCCCGCCGGGCCACCTCTTCCTGCATGCGGCGCTGCAGTTCCTGGGCCTCCCGCTCCGCCTGCGCCTTGGCCTGGGCATGGGCCTCGGCCAGCTGCCGCTGCTTCTCCAACGCAGCCTCCACTTCGGCCAGTCGCTCCCGCTCCTCTGCCCGCTGCTGCTCAGCCAACCGCTGTGGCCGCGGCAGAGAGAAGGAGAGAGCAGAGAGAGTCGTGAGCGAGCAGCCCACTCTCCCAGCTCGGCCAGAGCTCCCTTGGGGCAGCCAGAGCAGGACACGTGCACCCGCCCTGGGCTCAGGGCTGCGAGCAGCCTGGGGAGAGAGACCCCGGAGAACAGAGAGAGAAAGAGCAAAGCAGTAGGTCCGCAGAGCCTGCGAGCTGGCGCTTTGAGCGCCCCGGAGCCCCAGTGGACACCTGCTGGCCTGGCTCCCAGCAGCACAGGCTGAGCCAGCTCAGAGGAGGTCCCCACAAGCTGAAAGGGGCCACATCAGGCCACACGGCAGGGCCACCCAACTGCCAAACACACCTGGACACCTCGCCCCAGACCCCACACACAATCTTCTCCAAAGTGCAGCTGTCAGCACCAAGTCCCCAGAGAGGACGTGTACCTGAGCCAAGACCACCACCAAGGACCACCAGAAGGACACCGGGGGAGCGCGCCGCCGTTAGGCAGGAGAGCTGGCGGCAGCCAAGCTTCACCACGGGGAGGGAGCGATACAGCCATGAGATGACATGGGAGCCAGGGCCACGGCGTGGTGCGGGTAGGGGGTGGGGGTGCTGAGACAGGCTGTGGGCAGCTGCTTCTGGGGTGGGGAGCAGGCAGACCCCACCCCTCCTTCCCCCACCACCCATACCTCCTCCTCCTCCAAGCGCCGCAGGGTCTCACTGATGAACTTGATGTACTGGCTGGTGAGCGTGGTCAGCTCGCTGTAGCGCGTACGCAGATCCACGTACTGGGGGAAGAGAGGCTGGGTCAGCCTGCCTGTCCGCCTGCCGAGCCGCCCGTCCGCCCGCCCTCTGGCAGAGGCTCACCTCCTGGATGACACTCTCAGATCCTGACTGGACCTTGGGCTTCTTAGCCGGCGAGGCCACAGGCTCCAGCTGTGCCTTGTACGTGACCAGCTGAAGCTCATAGTCCTACGGGACATGCTGAGTTGACCCCCAGGCAGTGCCCAGCGTGCCTCGTGTATGCAACCCACCTCCTGCTGTGGGCAGTGCCCGGGGCTGCCCCGTGCACATGTCCACCCTCTGCCTTGCTGGCATGCCCACCTTGATGGCATTGATGTACTGCTTGGCGAACTTCTGGCACTCGTCCACCTTCTCCCCATGGCGCTCAATCTCCTCCAGCAGTGCCTAGGAGCAAGGGGTCAGCAGCTGCAGGGGCACTGCCCCCACCCCGGCCCATCCCCTCCCTCGCCCGGCCCGCACACCTTCTCCTGCCGCAGCTGCTCCTGCACCACCTGGCTGCTGGCCAGCGGCACCGCCTGGATCTGCTCCTGCCGCTCCTTCGCATCCTGCAGCCAGGCGCCCAGAGGGCCGGCGCTCTCGCGGTAGTAGCGCAGCTGCCGGCCCAGCTGCTCCAGCTCCCGCTGACGGCCATCGGCCTGAGCCAGCACCGCCTGCCAGCGCTCCAGCAGCTGCGAGGTCCGCTCCCGCCAGCGGTCCACCTCCACGTCTCGCTCGCCGTGCCTCTGCTGCAGCCGCTCACCCACCTCCTGTGCCGCCCGGAGCTCCTCTCGCAGGCCGTCGAACACAGGCCTCTGCGCCTCCGCACGGGCCCGCAGCTCCTGGGGGGAAGCGTTTCAGCACGGCCCACACAGCCGCCGCCTCCTGCCCAGCTGCCAGCCCAGCCCACTGACCTTCAGGGCAGTCTTGGTGGCCTCCAGCTCCGGGAGGGTGGCGGGTACCGCCTGTGCCTCCTTGAGCTGCTCCTCATGGGCCCGCAGCACCTCCTCGGCCCCCTGCGTGCTGCGGATCACCAGGCTGATGGTCTTGAGCCTGTGGGGGGGAGCGGGCTCAGAGCCAGATCCCAATCCCGGCGCCACAACCTACAGTGCGGCCTAAAGGCCCAGCTCCGGCTGCCCAGACTGCAAGTCACAGGCCCAGGAGACAGAGAGGGCTCCGACTCACTGGAACTAAAGCCCCCCAGCCCCCCATGAAGCAGGCAGAGCCCCAGCCAGCCCCAGGCTCAGCTATCACCTCCAAGCCTGCATGGAAGCGTGGCTGTGGAGGGTTCTCCTAGTTGGCATGCGTGAGGGGAGGGAGTGGGGAGGGAGAGGGGGCGAGGGGAGGTCCAGTGTGTCTGTGGTTGGGAAGCGGGCTCGAGTGCCCCTGAGGGAGGCGAGAGCCTGGGGGTGCTGACAGCTTAGTGAATTGATCACTGGCCGGCCATGTACCACCTGTGTTCTGAACTGAAGCTCAGAGGCAGCGAGAGGGGTAGGGTGCTGTGCCAGGGTTGCGAGGCAGAAGACTGCCTGCCAGCCTGCACCCCATGGCCCGCCCAGCGCTGCCCAAGGCTGAGCAGGCCTCTCCCTGGCACCCCCTTTGACAGTCAGGAACTCCAAGGGGCACAGACCCCTCTCTGGCCCCCACCCACTCCTGACCCTGCTGCTCAGTCTGCCCTCAGCCACCACCCAGGCTCCACACTTCAAGTCTTGGGTCCCCTCCATGCACACAGACCACGGGCCTCTGCATCCCCTGCCCCTGTGCTCAGACTCCTGCCTGGCACCCCTCCTCATACTGAGAACCCCAGTCTGGGGACACCCTCTACTCCAATATTCAGATCCCAGCCTGTGCCCCCTGCCTCCATGCTCAGACCCTGGTCTGGGTGCCCTATTCCCATGCTCAGACCTCAGCCTGGGCCCCCTGGCCCCCTGCCCCCTGGACCCCTGCACGCAGACCCCTGCCGGGCACTCACTTCTCCAGGTAGATGGCCGACAGGCTGCGGACCTGCTCCAGCTTGCCCAGTGTCAGCTCCAGCTCAGAGCGCAGCATGGGGGCAGCCGGCGAGGGCTCCGGCAGGGCCAACACCTTCTCAGCCTCAGCAGAGAGTCGGGTCACGCCCTTGCCCAGCCCCTCCACCTCAGCCTGTGCTTTCTGGGGAAAGAGGAGGGTCCTGTGACCACCAGAGCCAGCCGACCATGGCGAGTGGTAGCAGGGGGGGTTCAGGACAATGGGGGAGAGGGAAGAAAGCTGGGGGAGAGAGGAGCAGAGGTGAGAAAGGAGGAAATAGGGGAGGGAAATGGGGGCAGGTGGGGGGACAGATGAGAAGGGATTGGGGGGACAAGGAGAGAGAAGGGAAAAACCGAGTAGGGGAAAGGAAGTAGGGGTGATGAGAGATGAGGAAATGAGGGGAGATGACATAGATGAGCAGGAACTGGGGTCCAGGGAAAGTCGGCGGGATGAGGGGAGGGCCTGCCTGCTGCTCAGCCACGCGCTGGGCGCACTCTCGCGCCGGCTCCTTGTCCAGCGGCAGCCGCAGCCGGTGCACTGTGCGTGTCTCGCAGGCCTCCAGCTGCAGCCGGATGTCCTTGAGCTCCGAGATGCAGCGCTGGCAGCGTGACTCCTCCTGCTCGCCTGGGGGACAAGGCACAGTAAAGCCCCAACACCCGCCCGCCACCAGGTCCCTGTGCCCTGCCCGCCTGCCCACCCCTGCGCTGCACGCACCCTGCTCCAGGCTTTGCAGCAGCTGCTGGTAGTGGCGGCTGCAGGAGCCATACTCCCTCTCAGCCTGCAGCCGGTCCTCAGGCCCAAAGCTGCCGGCGTCCTGGCTGTCCCGCAGGAAAGCCTGGTAGTGCAACTCCAGGCTGCGCAGGGCTTGGCGAGACTCCTCGGGCTTCAAGGTGCGGAACTGCGGGCAGCAGGGCGCTGAGCACACAAGGCCAGGAGTACCTTGCTCCCTGGCCTGCCCGTGCCACCCCAGGACCCTGTTCCCCTCAGCACCCTAGGCCCACCCATTGAGGCCAGCGTACCGTGACCAGCGACCAAGAGCGGATGAGCTGCACGTCCCGGCTGAGGCTCTGCCAAGCCAGGAGGCTCCTGAGGTCCACGTGCAGCTGGTGCCAGCGCTCGACCAGGGCTTGGTGCTGGGCCTCCAGCCTGGCGGTCGGGGGCATGGTCAGCGGGGCTTCAGGCACTGGCCCGCCACCCCGCCCTGTGCAGCGGAGCCCGGCACTCACCTGGTGACAGCTTCCTGGGCCTCCTGGTTGGGAGGGGGCACGAGAAAGCAGACGGCAGGCACGGCGGCCTTGCTGCCTGCACTGCTGAGCACCTCCCAGTGGGACGGCTGCGCACACCCCAGCAGCTGGCACTCGTCCCCCTTGTGCACGGTCACCTGTGGGCAGGGGCCAGGTCAGCCTCACGGCGTCTGTGCCCCTGCCCCACCCCGCCCGCCCCACAGGCCAGCCCACTCACCTCCACCTGCTTATAGTCGCACACGGCCAGCAGCGGCAGGCGGCCCCGCAGCGGGTAGGCAGGGTGACGGGGCTTCAACTGCACAATGGCCTTGGCCCTCTTGGCCAGGCCCGAGAGATGGCCCTTGTACTCGTTTAACTGCTCCTTCTCATCCTGGGGCCGGGGGAGAGGTCAGGCCAAGTGAGCCCCAAATCGGGGTGGCAGGGCTGAGGACAAGTCTCTCCTGTCCCAACCCTGTGGACCTGCAGTGTCCCCACTCCCTCAAGGGTGCTGAGACTATAGGGAAGGTAGGCTGTGGCAGATCCACTAACCAAAGCCCACAAAACTGACCACACCCTCCCCCCCTTCCTGATTTCCGAGTCCCCACCTCCTGACCCCCTCAGGGAGCTGCTCAGTTAGCCTCCAGCCCCCTCCCCCCTCCCCAGAGCACAGCTTGGCCCCACTCTCAGCCCTCCCACCAGAGCATGCTGGCCACCACAGTGCCCCAGCACCCCACAGAAGCTCCCAAAGACCAGTGGGCTAGAAGGGCTGCCCTCTGTCCACGATGCTACCACCAAGGACCTACCACTCCTACACCCCGTTTGGACCTCAGGCCTCATACCCACCTCATTCCTGCCATGACCCGCATCTACTCCACCCCCCCCAACCC